ACAATTGATTATTATTGATAATTTCTGATTATACTGTAATAAAAATTTCAAGATATTTGAAAGCACAATTGCGAAACTGACCCAGAACATACAAAATACTACCTAGCAAACCCCAAACTGCAAACAAGTCTACACCCACATGAACCAATAAGCATTCTATCCTTTTCTCCCTCCATTGATTTGGAATTGAAAAATCATATTTAAAATCAAACCTATGAGTGACATTGTTTGAAATTATAACAACCACCATCTAACGTTGTTTAAAAATTTAAATAAACGTTCCAAATAGAAATCACGTCCACGTGATTATGGGATGCAGGAGTCGAAAAGGTTCGTCGCATCTATGATACCGTGAGCTGTGAAAGAAGAATCACGTATATACACCATGGTCCTGACATAACGGTCCTGAACAACATAAAAAGAAAACGTTTTAAGAGATAAATTCAGAGGTAGTTGGGAAAATCTTGACTCTGTTTTGAAAAACGTGTTATAAGAAAGGTGGTTATTCAACAAAGTAATGTTGTTTTCCGGTACCGAATGCTTTTATTATAAGTTTAGAAATTCCTAAATAATGACAGTCTTTTATTTCCAAAATTAAATACTTTTTATAGTTATCATATTTTCAAATAACACACTAAAATAAATTTTTTTTTTCCAAAAACAAAATTTAAAATTTTTTAATGAAATTAAATCAGAATTGTTTTGATGTATTATGATTGTTATATAAAAACTGATTATAATATTTCTCTATTTACAGGAAGCTTACGTCTGATGAAGAATTTTTGAAAAATATGTACCAAATATTCGATTCTTCTTTGCATCCAAAATAATTACAATTATTCAATTGTAAAAAACTCGATGTCGTTGTTGTTTTTAATGAGACAGGGTTGGAAAAATCTTATTTGGTGAAGGTGGAAATTTGGAGACACATATTTTTCAACATTGAAACTTATGATTAGTTAATTGATTTATGAAGAAATATTTAAAATTTTATTTGACTTGCCATTGAATCATTAATCGAAAATTACTTCTACTGTAAAAATAGATATTTGTGAAGTATCTAGACGGGACTCTTTTTATGGGAAGATTCTAGACGGGACTCTTTTTAAGAGAAACGGATACTGTCTATGTCCATAAGACAGAACTAGCAAAATAGAACAATAGTGGAATATTTTTTTAACAAGTACACAGTTAAAAATTTCTAGGTAAAAATGGTTAAATAGCAATTTATTTCATTGTTATTTTACTATATTCAACCAAAACAGTCAAGTAACCATAAAAAAGCTGATTTTCAAACAGTGAAGTGAGAGAAAAAACGTTTATTGATTGTTTTTACCTAATACGGTTTAGCAACCAGAATTCTATCCGCGTCAACTAGGTCCACCTCATGAAGCTATTTTGTTCCATTTAAGCCGGATACATACTGCAGCTGAGAGGGCTAATTGGTCAATCTCATGACACAGGGATTCGAATCCCAGTGAGGATAGTACAATATTTCTTCCATTCCTTCAATACATGAAAAATTTCTAGCGTCTTGCATTCTTAAATCAGTGATCTTAGCCTATTTGAATATTAAACCAACATTCAAGCATAAATGGCGCAGAACCCACAGAGTTCCAATGTCCACACACTTAAGTTTTATTTTTATGGTTTGTAAATTACGCTAGTTATGTTTACAAAACCGTACAGTTTTGCATTCACGGTTTTTCAACTATACCAGTTGTAAACGATTTCAAAACTATAAAGGTAAAGAAATGTTCCTAACCATAATCTTTATGATTAATCGGTTGGACAGGCTGCTACCGGTTATTTTACTGAAATTTCAGAATGACAATTCCGCCAGGGAATCAGTTCAAAAATAATTAATTAACGATATAAATGTAATCATAAATATGTCATAACAGATATGAAATTGGAAATATTAGTGCAATATACTTGTCGTTACATTTGGGGAACTGTGAAAAATCTTTGTACAAATATTCAGTAGTATTTTTCCTCAAATTTTTCTACTCAAGTTTGGGTGAAACTTCCTGGCATACAATCTATTTTTTATTCATTATTATCAATGTGTGTGAGTCTGTGTCTATTTATTGACAAAAATAATTTTTATGTTTTGCATCTTCGTATCTTTGTGTTACAACTTTTTCTATAACATAATTGTATTATTTATTTAATCTTTTAGTCAAATAAATGTCATTTTAAATAAGTTTCCTTGCAATTTTTTAAATTTATTTTTAATTATGAAGTGTATTGCTTCCTGTGTAAAAATTTTACACCTCTTTGAAACAGTGAATTGCTATAAAATAACGTGATATTGTTTAATAAGCATTTGCCAAAAAAAAAAGATAAATCCAAAATTTAAAAAAAAATTTAATACATATTCCTTATCTGAATATTCTTTGCAAAATTATACATATTTAAATAGTTTCTCTTAAAAAATAGAAAAACAGTAAACTCCAAAAAATTAAACAAAATCTATTTTTTATATACTTAATTGCAAACATTTTTCCATTGCGTTGACTGTGCTAGAACAAACTTTAATTTATTTTTATAAATGAAATACAAATTAATTTTATTGCACTTTTGATGCCATTTAAATTGTTGCTAATAATTTTTTGAGTTTAAAATTTCAAACAGCTCATAATGAACCATTGAAAGCATTGTACTAAAAAGGCGAGAAAACATATTTTTTAATTTGTCAATAAATCATTAAAACGTATTTAAATACAAACTATTTTTTTTTCGTTAACCAATTATCCGATGTAAATGAATGCAAATTCCTTAGAAACGAATTTTTATTCAAAAAATAATTAATTTCAGAATAAACTTAAACATGTGTACTGAAAAAATATTTAATCCCTTGGAGATAAAATAATCTTTAATAATTAACTTAATTTGTTTACAAATTCTTGACTTACTTGAAATAGTAGTGTTCGCTCAAAGTTCACATTTTTCGAATTCCGAAATTCAAAGCGATGCAGAAGGTATTTTTGTGCTTGATTTTTTATATTTTGATTTTTAAAAAAAACTATTACCTAACACGTCATTTCACAGTTCTTTTAGTACCAAATTTTTTAAAAAATTGTCTCCCGTCTTAACTTGTTTTCAAAGCTAAACAAAAACAAGGCATTTTTTCTCTCTATTTATTTTTTATTTTTTCATGACTCACTGACTTAATGAACTATGATCCGTTAAATGTATATAACAGCTAAAATTAACTCCATTAACTAAATAATTCATGCTAATGTTTTAACAAAAATATTTTAGGCTTTTTATATATATATGTAATAACAATTTTGATTAAATATAATTATAACAAGATTTATTGTGATAAAAATGAATGTGGATGTTAAAGTTATCTTCTAATGTTTAATTTGAATATGAAAAAATGTATTATCTCAGATTTGATAATGGTTTAGTACACGTAAGAAGTAAGTATATAGTATATTTTATTTCGCTGTACTATAATCTAATGCAATGCTTCTACAACCTAAAAAATAGTTAATAGCAAAATATTTAAATGTTGGGTAGTAATTATTTAAATTTTATTAAAATTTACTGCATGTGTTTACGTATTTATCATTGATAGAAATTAATTTCTACCCAAAAGTTTCTATGCAAAACAATTACCTATTTTATGTCAACGACATTCTTTAACTGCTGAATATTTTAATATAAAATTATTACAATACAGTTACAAAAATAAATTAAAGCCTTAATCATTAACTTATGTTTTTAGGCTATTCTTCGAAAACTGTCACGTAACTGCTGTTTAGTCATGTTTCTTAGGTTTATGTTTTATCCATTTGTTGCCTATATCATCTAAATGATGCAACTTTCGCAATCTTTCAATATGAAGCTAAAATTTTTTAACAGTGAAAAACATTTGTGATTAAATTTTTGAGGATTTCAGTTACTCTAACGTAGCATTATTTGAAAATATGCAAAAATTGAGAATTGATTCTAACAATCTATTCTCAATTTTTGAATTCATTGATTTTTACAATTTGTTAATTCATTGATTTTAACAACTTTCATCAATTTAAAGTATGAAAATCTCGGCAAGTTGGATATTTTTTTGAAAGGATAAATGAAAATTTTAAATATGTATGCTGCGAAAAAATACGCTAATTAATTAGTGCAGACGATATCTTAAGTTACGAAATCAGAAGAAAAACGTACTTTCTATGAATAAACATACCTTTCCTTCTTTATTTGAAACCCAAAATATAAGGAGTAGCCGCAATCTAGGAAATATGGTCTCAATAGTTCGATCAGGAGAGCGGTCAAAAGTTTGGAATTCTTAATGTTAATTTTACTTTTTACGTTTTTCACCATATTTCGAGGCCTTTTTAAGTGGATAGAAAAAATTTTGCATACAATTAGTAAATTCGTTTATACAAAGATAATTCTATGCAAAAATAACTTTTAGTAAATATTTATTATTTTATTTAATAATAGAAGAAAAATAATTGTAAGGTACACAATTTTTTACATCATTGTAAAGAATGTAATTTTACAATGCTAAATACAAAATTTGAGCGAAATCCGTTTAATAGTTCTTGAAAAAAATCAAATTTTAATAAAGTCTTATTTTAATATTTGGTTTAAAAGGCTTATCACAAGATAATAGAAACAAAGTCACGCTACTTTTTATGAACTTATAATTCATGTATGTGTAGTGGTGGGATCAAAATAACTTTGTACCACTGAATTTTGAATTTTTTTCCCCACTAAGAAAAAATTGCCCAAAAGGGTGGATCAAGTTGGCATATCTGAAATCTCTTCACATCCCCCCATATTTATGCATTGAAACATACCAGAAAATCAGATACCAAGGCAAGATTCGTTGTACGTGAAATATATCGCTCTTTTCTTAGAAAGTTCCATGTTTAACGTAAAAAACTTAAAGCATCTGAAAAAGAAGCAGAGAGCTAACCCTACTAACCAATCAAAATTCCAACACAAGAAGTTTATTAAAAATACTGTCCTTAAACTAGGATCAGCAAGGGCACTTGGCTTATTTTATCTTCAGCGAATAATGTCTGGACTTCATATTTTGGCGCTATTGGCGGGCATTTATCTTATGATATTCGTCGTTGAGCCCGTTGCAGTACCACAACATTTACTGTCTCAGCATTATTATGGTCTACCTTGGAGTGCAGAAAGGAGCGATATTATCAAAGCTAAAATGCCTTCAATACTTCAAGAAATTCCTGACAATACCCTTTTTCAAGAAACTGAAGCACAAAGAAAAGACAGCCCTTACCAGGTAATATTGAACTTTTTATCTAACATGCTTATTTATGCACTGCAAAAAAAATAAAAATAAAAATCCGGATCAAATTTTACCGCCAGTTCGGCAGTAAAATCTATTTGTACCGTACAATATTGTACTGTTATTTTTGCAGTAATATTTATTTAATTGGAGTGATTCAGTGACTTTGTGGTAATCATTATTGTATAAATTACAGTATATCAGATTTTTTGTTCTCTACATTTTCAGGTAAAAATTGATTTAAAGGTAAAAAATACGTATACCTCAATATTACCATAAAATGAGCAGTAGAATTGAAGTTATAACCCACTAATTAAAAATTATCTTTCATGGATGCTCAGAGGAATTGACAAATTCTATCCAGAACAAATTCCCTGTGTTGGGAATTTGGGCCCTGAAAAAGGGTAATTACTACAGAGGTAGCAAGAAAACCCTTTTCAATTTTTAAAAAAAAATATTAGAGGAATGTATGAAAATCTAAATTCATATTTAAAATTCATTTTTTATTCAAAATCTTAGTTGCAATTATTGTATGGTAATAAGTTACTTATATTTCAAGCAATGCTTTTTTATTTAGTGTCGATTTATATTGACTTACCCCTACTGTTTGTCAACGTAAAAAATATTCACATTCAGTTAAATTTACACATTTCATATTTTTAAAGACATCTTCAATGAAAAGTCAAATATTTTCTAATTTTAATGTTATATTACACAGGTAAAATAAATGCATCTTAACAAGATACTTTATGGACACTTAGTTAAGTATCACTATCAAATTTTCAATTAAATGCAAAAACAATTATACCAGACAGATTATTCTAAATATTTTCTAAGTGAAAACTTTTTCCTTAATGCGAAATCTAAACGAGCACGTAAGTTTTCTGCTAGGGGCCACAACTTATTTACTAATGACCCATTTCTTACCCAGAGAGATTTTCAGGGATGATAAGCCCTTATGTCTAGCATTAACTCTTATCTCCAAGATGGACTAAAGTTTCAAGTCTGGTGAATAAGATGGTCAATCTTATGCAATGAAAAAGTTAGGAAAATGTTCCTTAAGGCACCATTCTCGAGAACAGAATAATGAATAACTCGAACAATTTCGATACACATGTTTGAATTTATGCTTGAATCAACATTTAACAGAAAAAAATTTTAAATTTTGGTAGTAGATAAAAATATTAAACTTGAAACTTTCTTGAATTTATTTCTTGTCACGCTACATGTACTATATCTATGTATATAGTGTAACAAGTATCAATCGATACTTGATAAAAAAAATTAAAATTTTGGTGGTGGATAAAAATATTTGGCTTGAAATTTTATCAAAGTTTCACGCTATATGTACCAATATAGCGTGACAAGAATCTATCAATAAATAAAATTAAAAAAAATTTTAAATTTTGAGGTGAATAAAAATGTTTTGCCTTTTTTGTCTTTACTAAAAAAACATTATTTTTTTAGTAAAGACAAAAAAGGCAAAACATTTATCATTCATAGAGAATACTGTTTGTTTAATTGAATGTTTATTTATTTCAGCAGCGTCACTAATGGAGTTCAACACCATCTACCATTTTTAATATGAAAATATTTTGTTTTGCAAAAAATTATGTTACTGCAGTCAGTTATAACTTGATAAAAATTGGCAATATGATGAATTTTAACTGCTCGTAATATTCAAGAACAAATAAGAGTAAATCTAGCACTGCTTACATTAGATTTTGTTTTCTTTTGAAACTTTATTAGACAACGAGTGATAGGCTGAGCTTCTTACCTGTTTCGTTTACAATCGCCTCAAACTTTGATAAATTCAAATTATTATATTGCTTAACGATAATTCTTGGTCCGCATGAGAGGAAAAAAATTTCAGTCACTACTATTTCTTTTGATGTTGAACAAAATTGTGACAAATATTTAAGTTTTAATTATAAAGTCGATTACAGATTTAAAAAGTCGATTTTCTGTGTCACTAAATAATGAAAAATACACGCTGTATATTAAAAGTAAAAAGAAGATCTTTGCTTACTGATCAATAAGAATCATACTGGTCAATGAAGTTCTAGCAAATGCACAATGAAGGAAATGCAGCAATGCGAATATAAAACTTATTATTATTAGTAGTAGTAGTATTTTAATTCGGCGGAATTAATCAGTATGTAGTTTTTAGAAAATTTTCTAAAAATTTGAGTTGAAGCAACTACAAACAAGGAAAAGGTGCAAATTGAGCAACATTCTCGGAATGAGTAACATTCACAAATGAATAAATAGAATTAGGTTAGCAAACTTTAAATGGCGTTTTCTCAAATCAGCATTTCCCATGCTCAGTGGCTTAGTATCTTCTAATTGCTAGAAATTGAATATGTTTCAGCTGCAACAGATAAAAAGAAAGCCTGCAAAACTATTTGGTTTATTTTTTTTTTACCAATGCGTAGTACAATGCGTAATGAATATAATACGTAAGAAAATATGCATCACATATTCAAAAAAAGAAACGAAAATTAGGAGGTCTTGCGTGATATAATAAAAACTTTCCACTATTTGACTTAAAATCATTGAAAATTCAAGTCAAACTTTGAAAATTGGTGTAAAAAAATCATTTGGACTAAATTATTTCTTTGTAGGTATCTGATGGAAATAGATTTTCTAAGTTATCACAAAAAGGAAACTATAGCTACATGGGTAGTTTGGATCACGTGACAACACACTTAAAGAGGTTAGATAGATTGAACTCAAACTCAGAAAATAAGCCGGCGATAAACAGAGGTCCTACTTTTGCCTCTGAAAACTCGCACAAGCAAGCCAATAACAGAACAACAATTCATACTTGGCATAACTGGACACCCAGGCAATATTCTAAACAGGATACAGACAATGGTAAAGAGAGAAGGATACCCCCGACGTTTCAAACGATCCCAACAAATAAGAATATTTTAAGTGAAAGTGTCAATAAAGAAAAGAAATTCAACTCAAGAGGAAGTGCAGTGTAAGTTCAATATTTCAAAATTTCTATGGTCGTAAATAGTGATATATTACAAATTTTGAAGAGTATGTTATCAACAAAGTTGTTCCAAAATCTGTGTTGAAGTTTAATATTTTTGAAATTATAGAAAAAAAGCGAAAGACAATTCTTATTAAAAAAGATATCCGTATCTCTACAGATATTTATACTAGGCTTATTAAATTTTGCGCGATTATTATGTAATAACTAAATATATAATCGATGCAAGATACAAGCGCATTCTGACGTAGGATGATCAAAAACACTTTTTTTAGTTCGACATTTATTATCAGTCCCGAACCTTCAAAGGCTTTAAACTTTATTGATAAGTGTGAGAATTTGCTTGATCTAAACCAGTGATTCTCAGCCACTGCGCCCCGGCACTTTTGTGTGCCGCCAAATTCTTAAAATATGCCGCTAAATATTAGAAATGATACAATAAAAATTATAATGCTCTTTTTTTATTATTATTATAGCTTAAATTAAAGAAAAGTGTGTGTATATATATATATATATATACTTTTTATAATTTTTTCCCGCTTTAACCGCGTGAACATCTTTGTCGGCGATTGTATTGTCTCTGACAATCTTAAAATAAGATGGAAGTGTTTAAATTGTATATGACACACAATTTTAAAAAATGTCGTGAGAGCTAATCATTAAAGTAAGCTATGCAATTAATAAACAAATTAACAAAGGATAACTAAAAAAAACCAAATATATTAGAAACAAACTAACAAAGGATAACTAACAAAAATTAGGGTAGCAATTAATAATTAGCAAATAAACTAGTTAACAAGAAATCACAAAAAAATAACAGTTAATAATTATAGAAAACAAGNAGTTAAACATACTGTCATCCAAATAACGTTTTTGTTTTTTCTCTTTTCTTCTTGTTATTGTTTCTTTTTCTCTGGGCACAAACGGCTTGCTCTATCAATTTCTAGAAATTTAAGTACATTTAATCACGATTTTTCTGTTAAATATTTTTCTGATACAGATCTTAAAGTTTCTTGCTCTTTTTATTTCTCTTTTTATTTCTCTTATTTTTTACTTTCTTCAAACAACATAGGGTTTTCTTTTAATTTCTGTCTAGCTTGTCTCATACTAAGTTTTTTCTGCTCCCTTCTCTTTTGCATTTAAACATTTGATTGCCTTCTTTTTTTATGTTTTGGTTTTGCCATTTTTTTCCTAAAATTTGAAGATAAAAAAAATGTTAAACGTCACAGAAATTATTTAGAAAAATTGCCAATATTTACTTCTCCGATAAGAAAATAATTAAACTTAATTGTTTTTCTTTAAAAATACAAACAAATTAACTCATTTGTTCAATTTTAAAAAATATCAATTAAAAGAAAATAGTTTTTTAATTATTAAAATTATATTATGGTTATCTAACACATTGTCTCTTCCATTGGCTGTGTCTTCTCATCCGTGGACTTGTTATGTCCACGGAGGAGACAAAAACTAGTTCTTTAATTTTACTGATTTTTGATTTTAAAGTTACAAATATGGCGCAGTTCTTTTTATTAAATATACTATTTTTGCAATCTAAAATTCATCTATCAAAAATAAAATAATTCTCTCTTACCTTCTTTATGATGTCCACGGAGTATACGGTGATAACTTTGTCAAACCCCATTTGAACACAACAATCCAATTTGACACCAAAGAGAACAAAAACAACTGATAGTTAACATTAGAAAATAGAATAGTTACCTTTCTCAGCAGCTGTCTTATAGAGATTTCGCATATTCTGCCCTTTATTGCATATTTACCGAACTATATTAATTGTCCACGAAGGGAGACTTCATATTTGATGGACAAAGTTTACTTGTCATTTATTTTATAAAAATATTTATTTTTAAAAAAAATATTAAATAAAAAGTTACTATAAACATTTAACTAGGTAAAACTACAGAAACCATTAAAATAACATTTAAATTGTTTAACAGCCATTAAAAATTATTCTGTTTCACAGACGTAGGGACGTCCACGGAGGGGATTTTGAAGCCATGTTTATTAAAAAATAAGAATGAAATATTAAATACAATTAGCAGAAATGTATATGATTTGTTAGTTAGAACTTTGCGAAAAATGATGAGGAAAAATATTAGGAAATCTGCTGTATTTCCTAATATTTATTACTAAGGGACTTAAAAAATGACCTTTTTGTGAGAATGACCCATATATACATTATATTAACCGCGTGAACATCTTTGTCGGTGATTGTATTGTCTCTGACAATCATTAAATAAGATGGAAGTGTTTAAATCAGCTAATCATTAAAGTAAGCTATGCAATAAATAAACAAATTAACAAAGGATAACTAAAAAAAACAAATATATAAAAAACAAACTAACAAAGGATAACTAACAAAAATTAGGCTAGCAATTCATAATTAGCAAATAAACTAGTTAACAAGAAATCATAAAAAATAACAGTTAATAGTTATAGAAAGCAAACTAACAATTAATAACTAGCAAAAAAATAAATAACTGTTACTAACTAATAAAAAATTGGTCGAAAGAAATAATTAATCCCTTAATAAATGTGCTTTTGTAGTACATATTATTTTATTTCACATTCAAAATTATTATCGCAAACTATTTAACACAGTGTTTTTCATTGTGTGCCGTCAAATTTTGAAATCGTTAAAAGATTTCGCAACCAAAAAGAATGGTTGAGAATCACTGATCTAAACACTTCTGAAGTTATAAAAAATATTCTCTTAGTATTCCTTGAGAAAAAAATCTGAAACCAAAAACTGAAAGATTCTCTTCAATAATGTATTTTCATGTGAGCTGAAGTCAATTATCATCATTTGAATTTCGAAAACTTTACTTCTAATATTGTTTTTTTTTTAAATTCCAAAGCTTTATCAATTATTCTGTTATTCCTATTGTTTATGATCAGTAGATTGCTCTTTATCAATTATTACAGAAAAGGCCTCAAATCGAAATAGAAAATGCCTCAAATTATCTGATAATGTCTTTTTCCTATATTTTACCTACCTTCAGTATACAAAGAGCGATTTGTAATCTAAGTACTTATTTTTAATTCAGACTTAATAATATCTTTACTATTGTTTTGTATTTTTCATTAATTTTTATTGTTTAAGCTTGAAATTGGTTAGGAGGCACATTAAATTTTGCCTCTTCAGGTTTAATATCAAAATCTTGAAATTTTTGTTTCATTAATAAAGAAAAAAATATTCGTTCGACATTCTCTATTATATTTACATTCAAAGAGCTAGGAAAATGTCTCTCATGCTATTACGGATTTACTGCTGTCAAACTAAAAAAACATTGTGTGAAAGCCTTACACAGAATAATATTAATAAAAACTATCATGAAAACTGCATGACTATCAGTTACGGTAATCTAATAGTGAATAACAATAATCATTAATAAAATTATTCAACTTTCCCAAGTAGAATTGATACGATTAACAAACAAAAATCTGAAGAAAAAAAAACCTTTTTCAGAATGATTGGATGCAAATATTAAAATATATTTAGAGAATTTAGAGTTTGCTAAATATAGCGGATAATTCATCTTTATTTTTTAATTTTGAAAAGTTGTTTCCGAAACCTTTCGCTACATATCTTAGCTACGATTACATATCTTAGCTAAGTGAAATTTAATTTGCTTCACTTAGAATTTTGCAAATTTTGAAAGTTTAAAGCATAGGGTTTTAACCTTTTTTTAGCTCACCTACCAATTTTCAGGTCAAAAGCTTTTTAATGCTGCTCCCGTTTCATAAAAGTTCTTAAACAAAAGTTTATTAAACAATTGAAAATCAAAATTATAAATTATGGAACATTTTTATTAAGGTTCTTTTTCAATGTAGGGCAGTCTATTTTCATGTGAACAGCAAGCAATATGCTGAAAAATAGTAATCATTTAAATTTCTAAAACTTTACATCCAGTGATTGTTTTTAAATTTCTATAACTTCATCATTCAAACCTATTGTTTCGAATCAGCGGATTTCTTTTTTCTTCATAGTTTTTTTCAATTTTTTTCATAGAAAATGCCTCAAATTATTTGAAAATGTCTTTTTCCTACATTTTACCTACTTTCAGTGCACAAAGAGAGATTTGCAATTTACCTATTTATTTTTAAATTAGGATTAATATCTTTAATATTACTTTGTATTTATTACTTTTTATAGTTCATGCTTGTAATTGGCTAGGATACAAACGTTAAATTTTCTCTTATCAGTTTTAATGTCAAAACCTAAAAGTGTTTTGTTTCATTTATAAAAAAAAATCTATTTGTTCAAGATTCTCTTTTATGTTTGCATTTAAGGACCTAAGAAAATGTTTCTCCAGATTTTAACTGCTTTCTCTGCTGTCTAACTGAAAATAAAAATATAAAAATAGTTTAAGCAGAATGATATGAAAACTATACATAACTACCAGTTATTAATAGTGAATAACAACAAACAGTATGCAATTTTCTCACTTTTTCTAACAGTATTGACACAATTAAAAAAATTATATCAAAAAAAAGCCTTTTAACTGAATTATAGGATATGAATATCAAAATACAGTTTTATAACATTAATGATCTTCGATCATATGATTTATTAATGAATAAAGTTCAGTTAATCAACGATTAATGTGCAGTTATAATATAATAATATCTTCTTAGAAATAGGGTGATGAAAAAAGAATTTATTTATGAATTATTACAACCTGATTCCAATTTAAATTCCCTAAAAATTATGCTGCTTCTAATTATGTTGCGAGCATTGCAATAGTAATGAAAATAATGAATTTGAATTGATGTAATGAAAATAAAATACAAGCAAGAATAAAATGCATTTCGATTTATTTTCAGATCAATACAACTTTCAAAGGTGAATCACAAGACAGATTAAAATTTACGACGACCGAATAAATGTAAACAAGTAGGAAAATAAGTAACAAGTATGTACCAATAATGCAAACGAGTATGACTGTACAAAGGAGAAATCTTTCCTCAAAAAGTTATTTTGCCTTTTTTGTTTCTTATTTACCGATTACTTAATAAGACTTCATATGTTGTTATATAGGATGACCTATTTCTTGTAATAAGTTTTCTAATAACAAACAGTATTGTGTTCAGAATTTAGAAATACTTTAAATTTGTTAAATCTTATGGGTGCTTCAGAAAATGTGTTAAATGAACATGATTTTTGTTTACTTAAGTCCAAACCTTTATCATATTTTATGATAAATGATAAAAGATAATTTTTTTAAACAACTTTTTTGAAATAGCTATCATATGGAGTTCATCACACAGGTGAGTTTAAAGTCGTGTGCATCAAAATATTATGATACTTAAAATTAACAGATAAGAATTTAAATTTAAATTAAATATCACAGAGTTCAGCTGCTGGCTTTTATTTTGATTTTTAACTTAGGCGTGGTAAAATAAATGTTCAAAATATTGATCTTTCGTGAATACCAGAACGTGTTTTTTGTACATAATTTTTTAAAATAACCTTTGGGAGCTACAATACAATATACGTTCGAAAGGCCATTCTTCTGGTTCAAATCCGGAATGCCACCTTTCTTAAACTCTATTGTCCTTTTTTTATGCTTTTTGTAAGCGAACGTAGACACTTCGTTTCAAATTCTTCCAGTTTTTCCAGGCCACCTTTGAATTACTGAAAACTGATACATCAATATACTTCTTGCGAAACTCTTCAATGACGTGAGAATATGGCACTTAAGCAAAGTAACACTCCAACAAAATAAACGACTTCCTCTGTTTCTGGGAAAACACTGCGTAGCAGTCTTGAAAGACAAACGCTTCTCGAATAATGAATCCACTGTTTCTGGTAAAACATACTAATATCTGCTGTTTCAGGTAAAACTTCCTGATATCCGCAGTTTCTAGTAAAAACATTTCACCGTCTTGAACAACAAATACTTTTGAAATAATGAATCTGCTGTTTCTGGTAAAACAGCCAAATATCCCCTGTTTCTAGTTTAAAAAAACGATATTCGCTGTTTCTGGTTAACCATCCTAATAATCGCTTTTAGTGGTAAAACATAATGATATCTGCTGTTTCTAGTAAAACAGCATGTCTTCTCTAACGACAACATTTCGCAAATAATTTAATCGGGTTATCACCGATACCGATTAAAATAGATTTGAAACTATCTGAATCTGTTTCTAGTAAAACAGCATGTCGTCTCTAACAACAAACATTTCTTAAATAATTTAATCGGGTTACCACTGATACTGATTGAAATAGATTTGAAACAATCTGAATAATCATCTACCAAAAGGAAATCAAAAATCAATAAGTTTTTGCTAAATTAAAGGCTGTTAGACTTCATAGCGAATCACTTTAAACTCACCCTGTAACAGCCGTTCAAATAACAGTAATTTTAAAAAGTAGAATGAATCATGCAGTGCGCAATAAAAAAAAACGGACTACCCTGAATAACTTACGATTTAATGACCTTACCGTTTCGCGATGGTGACTTTAAATATGCTAATTATAATTAGTACAGGTGATATTTTCACTCTTTTTTTTTATTACATAAGGTAAAAAGTTTTGAAATTTGTGTACGTAAATGTATACATCTTACAATATTTATCTTTATATACATCATAAAAATGTATATCAAATTGAATCTCTAACATTATATTTCAATGCATTTAATTTATGTATTTATTTATTTCTCGTTTATAAACCTTTTTCGGTTTTATATATTTATATATATTAATTTATTTACTAAACATGTAGTTTTACTGAACGTTATATATTTCCTGTACCTGTGAATGTTATGCATTATTCTTAAATGTAAAAACATGTTTAACTGCTTATCTAACCAAAAAATACTTATTTTGACACTACTTACACTAGTCATTTCTTACTTTTAAATGGTGCCTGTGATATTCTACTACGAATTTAATTGAATTAATCAAATTCCTTTTTAATCACTTTTTATGATATATATGCATATTTAATTAGAGAAAAGATGACGAGCTTCGAACAATTTTAGAGACTAAGATTGCAATATTTTCATATCACATTCAAATATCTTTAATATTGCAATTCAAATCGAACATGGATCTGAAATTAAATTCATTAGAAGTAGGTTTATTATTGAAGTTTACACTTGTTACACTAATTGCTTGAGTTCATTAATGTGTTTTAACGTTATAAAATTTAAGGCATTTCCTTACAAAACAATAAAATAATGAATCCCTTTCAGTAATAAATTTAATTTTAAAACGGGGATAGATTCTTACCAAAAAGGTTACTAAAGTACTACTTTAGATAGATTCTTACATTACTAAAATAAAAATGATACCAAATAAAACTGTAAGATAACAACTTAAGCAGATAACAGAGTAAGCAGATAAGGCAGTAAGCAACTAACTAAAGCAGTAACTAAAGCAGATAAAGCAGTAAGCAGATAACAACTAAAAGTAAAAGTAAGTGTAAAGTAACTTTAACTCATTAAAAATTTCGTTGCAATATTTTAATTAATCTTTTATTAAAAAATGTTTTTAATAAAAAAAAAACTGTTTTTAATGTTTGATTTGTATTTGAAACGTCATGTACAAGGTGTTCCGTAATCACTGCCCCTTATAAATATTTTTAGACTCTTTGCAAAAATCTGAAGTTAGAAAGCTTTACACATTAGGAAACGTAAGTAACAATAAAACGTTAACGAGAAAGTCGGAATTTCAAAAAAATCAAAACTTATTTGATTACCTGAGGAAATTGGATATGAGAAAATATTAATTACATAGTTCCTCATGTATCAAACAGCCTTCCAACTGTTCTTAACCATTTTAAACCCACCTTTCGACATAGATATTCGATACATTTATAACGATTTTAGTTTTTTGCTTGCTTTATTGGACCCTTAATGTGTAGGTCTTTATTTTGACTTCCACAAAGATTCTAAAAATATATTTCAAGAACTGTGGTTATAGAAATGCCAGGTATTTGCACACAAATATTACTAAGAAAATATTTTCCGACTTTGATTGTTTAAATTTAAGTACTAAGATATAAACTTAATTTTAAAAAAAAACATGCATCGTAAAATAGAGACCTTAGATCTTAGAGTAATTTTTGAGAAAAACTTTTTTTTAACAAAAACAAAATGAATTTCCTGTGTTAATACCATTTGATAACACACACTTTGGCTTATATTTTTTTAATTTATAAAGCATTTAATTCGCTTTTTTAAAAAATATTTTTGATATAAATAAATACCGGCTCAAACCTCTTTTTTTCAAAAAGGCTTGACCACAGTAAAAAGGTATAAACCATTTTTGAAAAAAATAGAATGCTTTTCAACAAAGTAACAATAAAAGTAACGATAATTCTTGATTAAAAACTTAATTTGCTGCAAAAACATATAAATAGGAAATAACAGTCGAAATGTTTCATGCGCTCAAAAACAGGTGCCCATTTTCAAGACTTGTCAGACGTGAATGAGAAAGAAACAAAAGTGTTTTGAAATATAAAATGTAAGGTTGCCCACGAAAAGGAAAAAATAAAAAAAGAGAAACAAAACTAGAAAAATCACAGTAGCCGAGAGAGAAAAAAGATGACAAGCAGAACAAGAAAAACCTCAGTACCGGGAGAAGCAAATCAGGGTAAAATACATTGCCACGAGCTATGAAGAGATATTGAGAAACCTTTAACGAGGGAATGCTTTATTCATATGAATGCTGATTCCCTTGTTAATGGCTTTACTTTTTCGCTACCTTTTCATAGCTGCCACTGTGGTTTTTCTTGTTCTGTCTTTCATCTTTTTTTCTCACTTGGCTACTGGGGTTTTTCTAGTCTTGCTTCTCACCTTTATTTTTCCATTTTTGTTGGTAACTTCACGTTTTATATTTTAAATCACTTTTGCTTCTTCTCATTCACATCTGGCAAGTCTTGAAAAAGGGCACCTGTTTTTGAGCGCTTGAAACATGTCGATTGCTATTTCCTATTTATATTTTTTTGAAGTGAATGAAATTTTTAATCAAGTAACATCTCACAGCTTCAATTTTTTGTGATTATTTATTTAACAGTAACGTTAGTTATAATCATAAAACGTATAACAAGCAAATCGTCCCTTTCAGCTTACTGCAGGTAATCGAATGTCTGTTCGAAAATACATATGCTAGATATTCGTAGTTACTACCCTCATAAAAGAAAAAAAACGTGTTCAATTAGAGTCTCAAATTAGTATTTAGATATGAGGAAATATTATTTTCGGAATATAATGAATCACAATTGAGGTAAGCGAGATCAAAATCTTTAAAACCTGCTTAATTGTCCGAGGAAACAGTATCATCTCTTCTCGAAATATTGAGAATTATGTATTTATGCTTAGGTGACTGTGATAACTATTTAAAAAATCTCATTTATGTGATTAATTTTTAATGTATCATACTGTTATTTTAATTATTTAATATATTTTCTTTAATAACAGCAGTTATTAATGCTACTCAGTGTTTTAATATGATTTATAAGCTATGTACTTGTTAAACTTAATGTAACAATGGTTTTATTCATAAAATGTATGTTTCATAAAATATATAATTGAAGAATAAAAATTTTAATTCATTATATCGTATTTTTATTTATCGTATTGTTATACATTTAATCGCATTGTTGCTATATAAAATTACATTCTTTAAAATGATACAAAAAATTTTTACACCTAACAACTTGAAAAAATTTCGACTGTTATTAGATGAAAATAATCATTGAGAGTTATTTTCCGTAAGAAATTATCTTTGGATCTTTGGATTCGCATTTTATAATTTTGTGCATAAACTTTTTGATTTGCTCAAAATGTTCCAAATCCTGTCTTGCGCATTGTCACGGCTACAAACTAAATAGGGGCTAAGGTCTTCTCATTTTCCAAAGCCATGGTCATAGCCTTGCCAGCCAAATAATTTTTTTTTCATTCTAATGCAGCACCATCTCTAGGATTATAATTTTAAAAAATAATGATGAAAGCAATTTGAAAATTCATTTAACTTTAGTATAATATTTAATCTTGCGGCAGATGTAGAGCATGTCACATTATGTCAAAGTGTCACATAATTGGGCAAAAATACTAACCATAATTATTAACATGGAAGCGTGGAAATAAGTTTGTTTATAAAGATTCGAATTTTACTCACGCAGCCACAAATATCCACAACACATCTTTGAGATATCTCTTAGATAAAAAATAACTGGATATTTCCAGATCCAGCAAACATCTCTAAGATGTCTGCTTATCCATGAAATACCCAACAGAAATATAAGCATGTGTACAAAGTTTAAAAAGAATCAACCTGAAAAAAAAATGAATAGCCAACAATTTTTTTTAAGTTTTAAGACATTTTTATTACAGATCCATACCAGCAATTTTTATTTATTTTCCTGTTTTGATATTGCCAGCATCTACTCCATATATTAACTTATATGTGCAAACTCGGGCACACTTATTATTACTACTGTTCTCCTCTGTTACCAATGTTCAAGTGTTTGAATAAAAAAAATAAGTTGTCTGAAATAATAAACAACCTACTCTGTAGTCACTGCTTTTTGGTTAATTATATAGAGGTAAAGCAATGGTTGGTAACAGAACGGGAAATATGTAACAGAGTGTTCGTTCACTGGTAATAAGTCAGTCAAAAAACTGTATTTTTTTAAAAAAATTACCTATTTCTATTCGATCAAACCAATTAACGTTATTAAATAAATCCCGTCACTGATACAAGCATTATTCCAGAGCCAAATTTACTAATTCAAGTTGCGAAATTTGAAATTTACGCTGCTAATGATTGTAAAATTAATACCAATGGTTAAAAACTCTTCTTTATCGCTGTCACCGATACACAGTATTCCGTGGTAACAATGAAGGAGACAGTTTTTGATAAAAACAAATAATATGCTTCAGCATTCAAGCCTATTTTATGATTGATGTCATGTGTTCAATAAATGATGTGTTTCTCATATTATTATATTGTGGTATCAATGACAAAACTCCAATAATTCCTATAATGTTCAAATCTACAAATTATAGATTTCTACAATATTTAAAGTGATAGTGTAATAACAATCACGGAAAGTAAAGTTTTTCTCGTTTTGCCTCATTTCTCATTTTGATAATTTGATTTTCAATCATAAAAATCAAATTACCATGCCTTATATATTTGTATAAATTGTTTATGGGTCATGACTGTTAAAATTAGTTTATATCGAATTTATTGAATCAAAAATCAAATGTTTAAGCAGTTACAACTTTTAATATTCAAGAAAAATCACCGCTAAAACAAGAAATATTGGTATTTAATTATTTATTAAGCTTTAACATTAATTAAAATAAAAATTCTTAAATCTATTTATCTGAGACAGTACTTTTAAACTTAAGCTAGTTCCATTTTTATTTTACTTTCTTTTCTATTGGTAACTATAAAATAATTAATTTTAAGATCTGTTCTTACTATCTCCATTACTTCCCATACTAGCCTCTAGTCATGATCCTAGATGGGACAAAAATATTTCTTCTTAAAGAGAAACTAGTTTATATAAACTGCTGTTTGTAGAAAATGCAACACCATGAAGGAATCATCAGAATCAAATGAAATATTATTTTAATAATGGATATAGGATATTATGCAAATTAATAAAGTTTCAGAGCCATCGCGCGTGCGTGGCGCGNATACTAATTTATATTAGAAATAAATTAAAATACAATGAGAATATGCCATCTGAATTCACTTTCATTCGAAACATTTTAACTAATGCACGTAACTATGTCAGCTAACAGAGGTAAACCCACCTGTTAAAACATGAAGCTTCGTGCGTAGTTGAAGAGGAAAGGGTTCAAATAACAAACCAACAGAACCCATTGTGGAGCCCTCTGAAGTAGGAAGCTTATTTCTTGATATCCCTATACTTTGGGGTAAACATAAATTTGTTTCTTTTTAACATTCATTTCTTATATAATAATATGATATAAACTATTATTAAAAACATTTTAATATTTAATGTTATTTGTTATTGGCATAGATGATAGATGTTGATTTATTAAATCAAGCGTTACAAACTTATTTCAAATAGTTACGAATTGCGATACATGTATTAGCATAAATGCGAACTTCTCCTGTTCATAAAATATTTTTTTCTCCGTTTTCTTCAGTTTTAAAATAAACAAAATGGTAGCTAATATCATTCATTTCCCTTTGATTTTAGATTTAATAAATTAAATTTATATTGATTTTGGCCACTGTTATATATAAACAGCTTAAGGAAATGTACAAGACTTAATAGTGCAGCGATATTTTTAAGTGTTTTCAGAGTTGAACAAACTAGGCTTATTATAATTCGCTATCGCAACGCTCGAATACGTCATCTGGGGTGAAGACTTGTTCCATGTCCGAACTCCCCCCTTTCCCTCTCCCCCTGTTCTTAGTTGTATAGGAATGAACTACGTTATTTCCCCTTCTCTTAATATTTTTCTTATTTAATAGTCACAAATATTTTTTAAATTTTCCACGACACTTTCTTTTTGAATTATAGTTTCCTAACGTAAAAGTTTTTAATTTATTTGAAAAATCAAGAGAGAAACTGACATACTTCCTTCTCCTATGACTCTCTACACGCTAATGGTGAAAGTATGCGAAGTGTTGCCATATGTAGAAAGTTCTGCTCTACCCCCCCCCCCCCNNNNCTATTTTGATCTCCAATTGTCATCTTACAACAACTCCCTAATTTGAAGACTAAACTTGTCATCTAAGAATTAGTTTTAGCAAAAAACGTTAAATTATTCACACAAAAAAATTTAAATTATTTTTTATTATTATTAATGATTGTTATAAATTGTTGCTTATTTTTACAATAACCAGCATTTTGCGACGGTGCCTCTCAAAATATATGTAACTAATTGAAATGAAAATAAATATATGTATGTCTGCGTAAATATATGTATGTATGTTTTTCTTTTCTCATACAAGATAATCTCATACAGTTTTATTTTGAGAATTTGTAATGTTTAAAAACTTGAATTTCAGAAAAGATTAGGCTATTCAGATAATGCATAAGCTTAATGTGTTTTGGTTTTTTAAACAAAAAAAAAATGCTTTTTTTTATGTAATCATTAAATAGTCAGTGTCATATGATATTTCTGTAATTTATAAAAGGCTGTGAGCCAAAAAAACAAATTTAAGAAAATTAATATCGCAGCATAAATAAAGTGTATGTTGCCATGCTTTGAGTATTATCTCTTATTTGACTATATTTGTGTAACGTAGTGTCGTTTCTTACTTTTTGGGTAGCATCATAGAAAGCTTGCCGAGTCTTCCGAATTAATTTCTTGTTTGTTTCGTTGAAAGTTATATTGGAACAACGCGTTACATTGAAAATACTACAAGTATAATGATATTGGATAGTTCGCTTTTTCAAGATTAGACTTAAAAATCAGTCGGAAATAGTAACCAGGAAGACTTATGACGAATTTTAACCCCCAGCGCTATTTGTACTTAGCATTACGTCAGGAGTGTCAAACTCGCGGCTCGCGGGCCACATGCGGCCCGAGATGAACATTTTTGCGGCCCAGTCAATATATCCGACGCAAAGTAAAAATAAAATAGAAATGTGAATTAGAAAGAAAACTAGCATATAAAACTATAATATACTTTATTTATAAACTATACGGATAATGTTAAATTGTACGCGAGAAAATGTAAAATTGTAATTGGCTTGCGGCACCTGCCATTCCAGATATACTGCATCGTATCAGAAATACGCAGAAAAAATTTCAAATCTTAGAACAGAATTTGAAACATGATTTTAATTCTTTGGAAGACAAATTTTGTTTGTTTTAGTCGATTTTCTCAATAAATATAGACTCAGTGTCCAGTAATATGCAAATGGAAGTGATTGAGATTTAATGCGACTCAAATTTGAAGGCAAAATTCATTGAAGTGGGTGTGCCTAAATTTCACGAATATTTACCAGCAAGGTTTGAAAATACTCNAATTATTACATAAAATTTATTATTTAATTGAGTTATAAAATTTCGAGCTATTTCAGAAAAGTACACACCTATTTAAAATTTGGTTGTATATATATATATATATATATATATATATGGTTTTTATTAAAAAAGTATATGACAGGAAAAAAAAACCTTCTAAAACCCAATTTCCAGTTATATATACAAAAAATTTTTTAATTTTACATACCCTATACTAATTTATGCTACAAATAGCGAGATAAAATTCAATGAGAATATGCCATCTGAATTCATTTTCATTCGTAACATTTTAACTAATGCACGTAACTATGACCTAGTTACATGCTAAGAGAGGTAAAACCGCCTGTTAAAACATAAAGCTTCCTGGTTAGTTAAAGAGAAAAAGAGCTCAAATAACAAACCAACAGAATCCATTCTGGCGCCCTCTGAAGTAGGAAGCTTGTTTCTTGTTATCACTATACTTTGGGGTAAACATAAATTTGTTTACATTCATTTCTTACATAAATAATATGACATAAAGTATTATTGAAAACATTTTAATATTTAATGTTATTTGTTATTGACATAGATGTTAATTTATTAAATTAAGTGTTACAAACTTATTTCATACAGTTGAGAATTGCGATACAAGTATTAGCATAAATGCGAATTTCTCCTGTTCATAAAATGTTTTTTCTCCTTTTTCTTCCGTATTAAAATAAATAAAACGGTAGCTAATAGCACTCATTTCCCTTTGATTTTAGATTAAATAAATTTGATTTACATTGATTTTGGCCACAGTTATATATAAACAGCTTAAAGAAATTGACAAGACTTAAAAGTGCAGTGATATTTTTAAGTGTTTTCAAAGTTAAACAAATTAGGCTTACTATTATTCGGGATCGCATCGCTGGAATACGTCATCTGGGATAAGACCGGTTCCATGTCTTGACGCCTCCCTTTCCCTCTCCCCATGTTCTTAGTTGTATAGGAATGAAATACGTTATATTTCCCCCTCTCTTAACATTTTTCTTATTTAATAGTTACAATTATTTTTTTAAAATTTTCACGACTCTTCCTTTTCAAATTATAGTTCCCTAACGTAAAAGTTCTTAATCTATTTGAAAATCAAGAGAGAAACCGGATTATATATGTATTTATATTAATTATAAATTAATTATTATAATTAATTATATTTATATGTTATAATATAAATACAATTAATTATAAATATATCACAAATAAAGCTAATAACCAGATTTTAAATAAAACTAATAAAAGGAATTGTTAAGCTGTAAATTATTTACTTCTCATTTAACGTGTATATTTTTTTCAAGATGATGAGGTAGCAGTTTTCACCAAGGAAATATAAAGCTGAATATTAAATTAACGAAAAAAATTTTAATCTTAGAATTGACTGCGTCCTTTCATTTATAAAATATGAGAAGGTAAAGCCCCCTGTGCCCCTCTTGGCTCGGTAGTCCTTGTCTTGGTGCCATTTAAGCTTACTTAAATTTGAGAATATAAATTTCTTTTGAAACTGGCCATTATACATATATACTGGCGTAATATATGTTACTCCTGTAATATATATTACGGAAGTAACGTATCGTGTTATTTCCGTAGCATCCAGAATAAATTTTTTTATTCAAAAACAAAAAAAGAAAGAAAGAAAAAACTGCAAGCCTTTGAAAGTTACTGAGAATCTGAATAAGTGTAAATGGTTCCACAAGTTACTTTAACAAAAATTAATAGAATTGTTTGATATTTTTTAGCACAGTTATATTCATTTCATGTGTTCAAACATGGCATTTGTAAATTTTGGAATTGCCCTTTTACCTTTATGCAATATATTTTCATAAATCATGAAACTAAATACTTTACTTATTTTTTTATGCATATTCACTTAATATTATGCTACTTTCTGTTTCTTTTTTCGCACTTAAAATTTTTAACGTGAATGGAAGACAAATGCTGATAAACCTTACGTATTTAAGCATTAATGAAAAATAAACGCCAAAACATTTTAAATAAAATGGGATTTTTATTAAATGGCAATAGTATGTACTTTTTAAAAATGAAATACTGAAATATATTTATTAATAAAAAACATATTTCTTTTAAGAGGGAAAAACAGATTTAAAGGTACAAAACAAGAGTTAAAAGGTAACCTCAGAATCTATTAATCATATACATCTTTTACAATACCTTAATCTTATCTTTCAACATCTAACTAAAAATAAGACACATTTCAAATATATTTATTTTTCTCTTTTCAATAGCAACATTATATCAATTAACATATGCATGAGTTACCAGGATTACTGGCAGTATAAGATAAAGAAGAAATCTCGAAATATCATTCTTTATCTAATCGTAAAAGAAATAGCTTGTACAATATATTCGTTGCCATTTTTAAAGAGAAAAATAACTTGTTCCTTTTAGATAATATAAAGTTAAGATAATAAATTGAATAGATTATGAATGGTAAAACTAGTTTGAGTCAGCAACTGATAATTCATAGAATCAGTTAGCAAATCAATTCACTTACAGCAAATACAGAGTGAGAAGTGAATCTTTTCCTGTATATTTTAGGTAGTTTATTAGGAAGAAAGTATGGAAATCTCTAAAAGTGAAGATAAAATTATTGGTAAGAGAAAAAGATCTCTCGATTTAGAAAAGGACGAATTAGAATTGAAAAAACCTAAAGACGATATAGACAATTCAGTGAAAGAAAAAGCTAGTTCAAAAACAGAGGCAAAAGATAAAGAAAATTCAGAACCAGGTAAAGAAGATAGTTCAAAATTAGAACATGGCAAAGAAGGAAGTTCAGAAGCAGCAAGAGAAAATAGTACAGAACAAAGTAAAGCAGGTGAATTTTTTATTGAAAAGTTATTAAGTGATGCTTTGAATATTGTTCGGAAAGAAATTGAGGTGGAAAATACAGCTGTAGAAAAAGCCTACAATGAAATAAAAACAGCTTTCAAGTCAAGTCAGTTTACAAAATTGAATTTTAATAACTCTGATTATTTACTCACCTATTTTTCTATCTATGCTGCATTTAATACAAAATTAACATATAATAGATTTCTTGATGCCTTTAAAAATTGTAAACAGCTTCAAGAAACAGTTAAAAAACAAAATTTAAATATTATTAGCTTAGGTGGAGGACCAGGTACAGACATAATAGGATTTTGCAGCGCCTTACAAGAGTTTCTTACTCAAGAAGTTAAAAATTATTGTAGCACAATCAATATTTCTGTAGCTGATATATTTAAACGTTGGGCTTCGTTTTATAATGTTATTGAGTTTCTTATTAGAGAAGGCTGTTATGGGAACGTCTCGTCTCTTTTTAAAAGCAAAATTGTTAGCTCATCATTTATGACAGTTGATTTAGTAAGCGAAGAACAGCCATGTAAATATACTTATGACTTAGGAACAGCTGATATAGTGCTTCTAGTGCGAGTGCTGGATATACTTAACTTTCAAGAAACAAAACCAGAAAACTTAATTAAGGTAAGTAATATTCTTTTGAACTTATTCCTTTTGTTGAATTAAATTAAATGCAATTTTAAAAGTCAGTTTTATTATTTACATACTTTATTCAGAAAAACTTCAAGTTGTTGATTTTTAATTCACCACCAAAGTGCTTAATGTTTGCTGTTGTATTATAAAAATGTTTTTTACATGATCAGATTTAGTTATTTTAGAATATTAACTTAATATTACTAACCTTTATTAATCGAATAGCTCTTATATGTTCAAATATTTAATTTTCCAAATTACTTAATCTCTTACCTGAACTACAACTCGATGCATAAAGTTATATTGGTACATAATTACAATATTTTGACATTACATAAAATTAAAATTTTACGACAGAAAAAATTACGAACTATTGAATCTTTTGCTTGTGTAAAATTTTTACTTTATGTACCAATATTTTTATGTGATCAAGACACAAAAATTTTTAAATTATTTTAGAATTGCTTCATAATTTTAAATAAATAATTCGATTAATTTTTTTTTCTTCAAATGGTGTAAAAGTTTGATTTTATCAAAATTAAAACTCAAGAAAAGATTTAAGATTTAGTTTTACTTTTCTTCTTATATGATGCTTTATTTCACGCATTTTTTATTTTAAAACAATATTCTTTAAAACCAAAACAAATAACTGCATGCTAATCATTTTAATTTTAATTGTTTTTTAACCTGTTTTCATTTTTTTGCTTTTTTTTGCATGTAGGAAATTGTATTAAAATAGCTAAATTTGATTTTATAAATTAATTTTAAATTTAATATTTTTTTAAAAAAACTATAGCAATAAACTTCTGAAGAAAAATTAAAGTATGTATATATTTATTCCAAATAAATAAAATATGTTAATATTAAAGCAGAATATTTTCATATGTATGAAAAAAATTGAAACATATAAGATATGTGTACAGTATTGGTACACTGGATAATTAAAAAACACAAAAAGTTGAAAAGTATGCATTTAAAAAAAATTTCAAAAACGGGTCTCGAACTCTAACATATTAATGATATTTCAAACTGCTTGAATAGTTTGCTAAACAACTAAATTGCAGCTATATTTATATGATTAATATAGTTCCTTAAAAATATTCATTTCAAATTTATATTGCGACATTACACAGGATATATATATATGAAACTATAATATAATAGTTGCTACAATTTTTATTTCATAGTGAATTGCAATTTGTTAAGCATATCCAAATCTCAAATCTCTTCAAGCAAGATTAGCATTTTATTCCATAAGTATTTTATTTCAGCGAAAGGAATGAGACAGCGAAATAGATTGCAATTTAGGCTTATTAAAAATGGAGTTGTATCAACAAAATTTGGTCACTTTGTGCGAAATGGTCGTTAAAGTTTTAACAATAAATAACGCTAACAAAACCATACTCCATACATAACTCAATATTGTATAATGATATTATGATTTATGATACAGTAAAAGACATGCTTTTTAATGCAAAACCTGTGTTTCTAATAAATTTTGGCTAATTGAAAATGGAACTCCTTTTTATTGTTGCGCAGTATTTTGAGCGTTGTTGAGTCCTTTACTGGTAGTGTAATTTCCCGTTTTGGTGATGAGAACTGGCCGCCAAGGTCATGCAATTATTATTATTTATTTTATTTCAGTTAATCCCAACAAGCCCTTATCAACCTATTTCATGGAGGTAACCTACTTGCTGGATCAACAAAAGTTGGTCACGTTTATGCAAAATGATCATTAAAGTTTTAAAAATAAATAATGCTAACAAAACACTACTCCATACATAACTCAATCTTGTACAATTTATGATACAGTAAAAAGACATACTTTTTAATGCAAAACCTGTGTTTTCTATCAAAATTATTTCTTGTGTAAATTTTTGGACACGTTAGGTTTATGTCATTAAAACACATTAATTCTTATTTATTTGTATCAAACTTAAAAGTGGTTTATAAATTATCTGTAGTGGCAAAGCACAAAATTTGAACGAAGTCGGTCGAATAGTTCTTGTAAAATCAAATTTTAACTATACGACTTTTTTAAAATTTGATAGCTCTGAAGATATTTGACGGATTGAACTCAAATTCTGTATTTAGTCGAAAATTACGTTCTTAAATGATGTAATAACTTGAACACCTTGCAAATTAAAGTGTTTTCGATTAGCATTAAATAAAATAATAAAAAATAATATGTAATTCTTAATCTTTTTTTTTCAATTTTTAAATAAACAAATTTTATGATGGCATGCGAAAAAAACCCAAGTTTCGCATCGCTAAAAAGTTTTTGAGATGTGGGGAAACACACAAAAGTAAAATTTAACATTAAGGGGCTCAAAATTTCGACCGCTCGCTTGACCAAATTATTGAGACCAGATCAAGTCTCCCTGATTTCGGCTACCCCCATATTTTGAGGGTCAGAAATCCAAATCCGTCGAAAAAAATTTTTATTTAGAGACAATACGATTTTGTGTCAGATTCGGGAATTAGTCTGCACTAATTAATTAGCATATTAATGGTTAATCCCTCGAACTATTAGATTGAGTCCTAGCACTTGAAAATCTGGTCATTCAAAAATCCAAAAAATATTCAAGGTTCTTATTTTTGCGTACTGTACATTTGTGACCAAAAACAAATTACATTGATCAGGAAAAAAAATTTGTTTTGTCCAAGCTCCCTCCCCAAGCTTCTGATTTCCCCCACAAAATGATCTCCTAAATCCAAACATGACCCTCTATATTTCCAAATCACCCACCGTTTTCTGGAAACCGCCCCTTTCCCATGTTTATCATTTTTCGATAATTTCAGGGCTATAAAATATATTAAGAGGTAGGACAAATTATTATTTTTGACCTTTAATTTCTTATGAGGGATGAAGAGGTGAGCAGTTCTAGAACGTTAGTAAAGAGAGAGAATTCGGGGGTATTTTCTCTCTAAAATCCCTTTTTTTCCCTTTTCCCTATTCCCTTTTCCCTAAAATTCGTTTTGCCTCTTCTACTTTTTGCTCAAATTGTTTTTGTTTTTTTTTCTTTCAGAAAATTATTTCAGGAATGAGGAGTGGGGCCTTGCTTTTAGTTATTGATTCAGTGATTAAAAATTATAATGACTCTGAAGTGACTCAAGTATACTCATCGAACTTAGAAGAATTTACAAGGCAAGTTAACATGGAAATTTCTTTTCCTTTATATCCCTGGAAATCTTCAAGTGCTCAAAGTTTCATTCTGCAGAAGAAGTAACACGACATCTTCAAATTGCAAAAGGACCTAATAGAAATACACTGTTAGAAATATTGGAGCACGTAGAATCACATTGATCAGCATACAATTTGTTGCAACTAGTAAAATTAACTAGTTGTAAAAAGTTTAAACAACAATTGGCCAGTTTTACTGGTTTATTAGTTACATTTGGAGAACTCTAATAATACAGTTTTTTTTCCTTAAATTTTGGTTAATAAAACCTAATTTGGTTATAACTTTGAAGACGTTATTTTTTCCACATTTTTTACTGTAAAAATAAATAGTTAAGATTAGGATATGATGAAAAGGAAAATGTAGAAATGGTCTTGATATATTTTAATAAGCTTGTATTTGTATAATATTTAAATAAACGTATATATGTTACAAGGACTGTAAAGTTACTGTTTGATTCCACACTTGAGAAGCATTGTAGTTGAATTTTTTATAAAGACTTTTTTATTGAATAATTTTGTAGAATATCCATCGCTTACATTCACGTAGCTTATAATAATCATGCATTCCAAATAATACTGTTATGTTTTCTCAAAAAAGTCAAGTTCCGAATACTGTCAGAGCATTTTTTAAAAGAAAGAAATCTGATGTTAAATCTTGTGCAATTACAAGAAAAAATCATTGATATAATGCAAAGATTTCAATTACAAATGAATGTAATTTAAAAATGTTTGTCTTTAAATCTATTCTTGTTTCAATTTTGCAAAACTTGAAACATTCTAACAATACTTTTTGAAATGGTCCTACCAGCACATATTTCGCTATTTCAAATACAGAGAAGTTGACATTTAGAAGAAAAATTTCATAATGAAGGAAATATATTTAACAAATATTGCTTTGTTCCTTTAAATAAAAAGAGTACAATATTTTAATAATAGCATTGAATAAAATATGATTCGAGTTTTATTTTTGAATTATATAAAAATATATTTAATTCATATTTATTATATTTTTATTCAAAAGATTTTCATTATTTATAGGAAAAAAATTACTTAATCATCGGTTTTTACATATCATATAATTTAATTTTTTTTATTTATAGTAAACGATAATGTTATAAAGATCTGTGATCAATTTTGTCCATTAGTCTTTATTAGTCATATTCTTCACAAAAATCATTAATATTTTTGAAATTTATAAACTTCTGTAAAATAAAGTTTATAAACTTGCGTCAAATAATCAGATTAGACAAAATATAGCACCTAGCTTTTAATCAATTAATGCTACATCATTGTTTTAAAAAAATCATTAAATAAGTCTGGAATTTATAAAACATCGAAATCTATGTTTTTGGATTGATAAATATGCCTCTAAACGTATTTTTTTATACATTTGATTATCTTTTTCGTAAAAATATGAAAGCATTAACCACAAAAATTAGTCATGTTTAGGAAAGTTTATACGTTATATGAGATAAATTAAGTTAACAAGCATTTTCAAGATTGTTTCTGGCATTTTTATGCACTAACCCTTTGACGCAGAATTTTTATTAAATATATTTTAATTTTTTTTCATTGTTTTGTATTAATTTAGGTCAAAATAGGTGAAAAATATTTTATTTAGCATTTCAAAATTTATGGTTATGAAATACAGCATGAAACACTGGTGTCTTTTTTCTGTGCTAAAGATTGAATCTTCCAAACACGGCTAATTTCTAAACAATAACTTTAAAAATTTTATACTTATTTGATCTAAGATCTATTTAGATCAAAGAGAAACAGTTCTTCATGATTAAATTTCTTTTAATTTACAAAATCAATCGTTGATAAATTTTTTAATGTGAAAAGAAAAGAAATTTTTCCCACCACTTGGTTTGGATTTTATATTTTAGTACAAAAATAATTCCGCTTTTCTAAAAGATTTTTACAGTAACTATTAGATTGCTTTTTCGAATTAAAAAGTACCAAAATATATTTTTGCTTGTAATTAAAATGTCAGAAAAAATGTATATAGAAATGACACCGGTGTCCCATCCGAGTCAAAGGGATGTAAAAAAAGTGTGTCAACCAGCTCTAATTTTAAGATTTTTTTTTTATATATATTTTTTATCCTTACCTCTTTTATAATTTTAAAAAGAAAAGTCAATATTTTTTTGAACCATTTTTCGAATAAAGGGGAGGAAGTTAAGGAAAATCACACGCCTGAAGCATCTGAACAAACATATTATATTTTTGATATTTAAAAATCAGACAGGTAAATTTTTTAATTTTCTTCCTTAAAGCTTTGATTGCTTTAAATAAATAAAAAAGGGAAAATAATCAGCCGTTTTAGCTGACTAAGAGCGTTATGTTTGTCTTTTTGCTCGTTTTACAGTAAAAGTGTTCATATGAATCTACTGCTTCAGTCCTTGCCTTAATCAATAATTCTGAGTGAATTTATAACATGCTTTTTATTTGCTTTAAATTACATTTCCTAGATATTGATCTTATCGTTTATAGAAATTGTCATAGTTTGTTTTCGTCATAGATAATAATATACTCTAGTATGCATTATGCTTTTGCATAATGCATACTAGAGTATATTAGAGTAAAAATTAAATACCTATTTCTTGATGAAACACTACAATAAAAAAATTCTAGAAAATGGATTAGTTTGTTGGAATTTTCACAAAAAGGAGAAGTGTTTTGTACATGATACGCATGCACGGAAATTATTTTTTAAAAAAAAATCATAATTTTGTTCTGAATCATATTTGGTGACGTAAGAAATAAGTCTGATTCGAATATTTTGTAAATTTAAACAGTTTCAAGCAATTTCTAAATCTCTTTTGTACGTTTTCAAAAAAAATTCTAAATGATATGCAAATTTTATTTTGCATCATGAAACAAAATTTAATAACATAGGTAATACATTTCAATGATTATTTAGACAGCAAATTGCGATAATGTAATAGAAGAAAACATGTGAAATAAAACATACTTCAAAAGGGGATCAATGATCCTCTATGATGAGGCATCGTTTTCAATAAAGTTTTTTTAATAGTGCAAAATTCCTGACCATTCAGATAATCTTTCCAAAATTTAATTTAGAAAATTGCTCAAAACTATTTAAATTTTCAAGGTATTCAAGCCGGATTTTTTTCATAAGTTATCGAATACGACTCAGAAGAAAAATTTGAAGAAAAAAATTTTAAAGGTTTTCGCGCATGCAAATTTTAAAAGGATTGTTAATTAAAAAATCCTTCGCATTTTTTTAAAAATATTTCTACAATTGTTGTAAGAAAACGTTTGAAAAAAAAAGCTTAAAAATGCCGATATCTTCATAAATATTTAAACTAGGTATATTTAATTTTGTGCATCCATTTCATATGATGTCCAAAGTAATTGATACAAGTTACAAGCAACTTGCTATATTTTTGGGAGTAGGATTTTTAAAAAAGACTCTTTTTTGCTCATAATTTATTGCCGGTTCTACAAAACTCTAAAAACTTGAAACTTTCTAGATACTTATAAGAAATCGCATGACTTAAAGGTTTTTAAAATTATAAAATATTTCTTCGAGTACTTCTAGAGAAATTTGAAAAAATCTCGAAAACCTAAAATGTCGCTTCCATTACTGTAAGGGAGCATAAATGTCAAATACATCTCTAATTAATAAATAGGAAATCTGGTTAGTTTTATCTCTAAGTGAATTATATTTAACTGTATATTTTGTTTAAATTAAGAATAATAATTCACTATATTGAATTATTAAAGAATAATAATTCACTATACTGACTCTTAGAAGTTTGAAGGTTGCTTTTAACAGGTAAAAAAAATTTTTTTGATGAAAAAAATAAATATTTTTATTTCTTTTTTACTTTCGAAGAATTTAATATTTATTACGTTTAATAACTTGTTATTATAGCATTAACAAAACTGTAAAAAATATTTCGCTGTTATATTTAATTGTTCATTAGTTATTATATTTAATAGCGTGTTAATAGATCATGAAGGATCTTTTTATCATATTATGGATTATGCGAATTATATGGAAGTCTAACTATCCATCAGATTGGCAGGCACAGGAGTGAAGTTACTTGGTGCCAGTTTAGAATCTGTCTTAAAAAAAAAAATTTCCAGTAGAAGAGAAATGCAAATAAGTGCGATGCAACAATCAAAAAATTTAACTTATTTTTCCTGATTTTGAAAATATAACCATAAATTATCAAATCCTTCATTAATGCATAGTGCTGATCCATTAATCTTAAAAACTTTAAAAAAAAAATTAAATAAATTGCGTAAAAAAGGTAAAATTTGGCAGCTTTATATGACGTGGGTAGTAAAAAGTTGCGTAGCTCCATATTTATAAGGTTCTACTCTCAATTTTGCTAATACGTTGTTCCATGTGTTTGGTTTACCTAATATTCTGAGAGGAGAGATTTAGGTAAATAGCTGATCTATTTTCAGGCTCTGAAAACGTGCTCAAAGATTAATTGGTAGGAGAGGTACCTTTTCGGAGAAAAATTCCTAGCTGACAGTAGGATCGTACAAAAAATTTTTAAGAGTACCTAAAAAATGTCTCTTTCTTTTTTTCTTTTTTCATTTCGAATGTTTTCCCAATTTCATTAGCAAATGTAAAATATAAATTTTCGAATCAAAATACATTATAATATGCGCACTACTTTCGATTGCTTAGTTACAAAAAAAACCAAGACTTCGTTTTATATTAGTTAAATATGGTTTTATTAAATAATGGTATAACATAACAATTGTATAAATAAAAAATGGTAAAAATGTTTTCTTTTTATTTTCAAAAATTAAAATAAAATATTTATAATAATAAATAGCCACACCTCCTGTAAATTAAGGCCATGAAATTATAAATTTAAACAAACTCAGTCATGCAGATATAGTTTTAATCGATTAATATTTTTCTTAAGTAATAAATGTAAAATTTCCTAAAAAATATCTATATCCAAATAATTTTTTCAAAACAAAAACATTTTCTAAATAAAAAAAAAATCTGCTTATAAATTTAATATATTAATAAATTTAGTAAAAACTAATTTAATTTCTTGATCCAACAAATTTTTTGTATAAGTAAAAGTAAACATTGACGTTTGTAGTTAAATTAGCTCTGAAATTATTTTTAAAAAAAGAAAACATTTTATTTTAAAGCATTAAAATTAATCAATTAATTAATTATAGAGCAATTTTTTTATTTAAAATTCTACAGTCAAGAAAATTTAGTTTTAGTCAGTTAATATTTTTCCTAAATAATAAATATACAATAAAAAATTTCCTAACTAAATATATATATCCAAATAATTTTTCCTAAATAATAAAATACTTTCCTAACTAATATAAAACTATTTTTCTACTTGTAAATTTTATGTATTTGATTTGCAAAGTTTATTAAAAGATAATTAAATTTTTGATAAGTACAAATTAAAATTTC